GTTGTTGTTTTTTTGGGGGGGGAAGGGGGGGGTTGGGTTTTTTTCTCATGCTGTGTGTCCTGTGTTAGGGGTTCGTCTGTAGTAACCACTCAAAAATAACTTTTTTTTTTAAATGAGGTAATGGGAAAGTTCTCAGCTTTTGCAAAACCACCTGCTAAAATGGGAAAGCACTTAAATTATACAATGTTTCTTATCGAGGAATGATAAACAACCAGTGAGTAGTTACTGCTTTGCATCTGTGGATGTTACCACTGGTTCCAGTCTGCCAAGGATGTGGAAGAGTTAATTTGGTCTGCCTGTGGCAGAGTTTCAAGTCTTGGCAGGATGTGAGAATCATAGAAGGGGGGGTGAAGGGATAAGGAAGAAAATGGTGCACTGAAAAACAAGTTGCAAAAAACAAGTTGTGGAGGTGTTTTGTTTCATGCTGTACAGTTAGTGAAGGCTCAGTCACCTCACCAAGCTGTCTCTGAGACAGTGTTGGATCTTGCATCCCAGGGGAGTGCTGGAGTTACTTGTGGGGTAGGTGGGTGATCTGGTGCAGCTTTTCTGAGGAGTAGCTGCTCCCCCTTTCAGACAAGGGACAGCTGTTCTTTAATGCTAATGGAACAGAATCGTTGCTCTGAAAAAGGAGGTGGCATGAAAAGGTCCTCTCACCCAACCTCTTTGTCTTCCACATGAGAGTCCTGGGCTGGTTTGTATTGCCTAGTTAATAATGAAACTTTAAAAAAATCTTTCTCTTTTATTATTTTAGAGTAATTCATCTTTGGAGAGCAACTTGGAAGGCCTAGCTGGTGTTTTGGAAGCTGATCTGCCAAATTACAAAAGCAAGATACTAAGAATACTATGTACTGTGTATGTATACAGGAGGTCTGGGAATCTGGGAGGTGCTTTGTTCTTTGTGCATAAGTTTAAGTGTTTAAGGTTATTTCAGTGCCAAGAATGGCTTTAGGTCCTGAGTGCTGTTACAACGTAGAGTTTGTTTTACTACAAACAAAAATAGAGGAATAAGCTTATTATGTACTAGGTATAATTCAGGGAGAATAACTCTTTTCATTACCTTGACTTGAAACGTATACAAAGGCTCAAAGCAGAAGAAGCCTCAGAGCTGCTCCTCAGTAGCAATGAGAACACAGTGACCCTGAGCAATATCCTGTTTCCCAATGAAATGCTTAAGAGCACTGAAACTATTGTCTGCTAATACTTATTTAGTCTTACTGTCTGTGCTGTTTCCTTGTTGCCTGTTCCTCTTCTCTGGCAATGAGATGCATGTGTTTTCCTAAGCCCATTCGATAGGGGAGGGGAGCTGGGAACACAAAGAGCTGAAAGCAGGCTCTCTGGTGGCTGACAGCTCTCCTTCTCCCTAGCAAAGTGCAAGAGCAGAGGTGCCTTGTGTCAGGGTCAGTTGGGGAGTTTGTGGGGTCTGTGGTAGGAGGTAAGAGAAGTGTGAAGGAGGGGTGTTGTGAAGAAGGTGTTCCAGCCCTAGCCTTTGCTATGGTTCTGCAGGTGCTTTAAATGTATTTTGTAGCAATGTTTGTTAATACAAGGCAAGTAGTACGTTTTTTTCCTATAACAGTAAGACATTTCTGGAAGTATAGGCTTAGCTTACATGCATACAGAAATGGTTGAGGAAAATCAATTCTTTACAGCAGGACCTGGCCTTCTCTATGCTGAGCTTAAAATCAGGTACTGTGACTTAAGAAAATTGGAATCAAAATTAATGGTGTAAAATGCATACAGTTCTTGTGTAATCTTGCTGATGTTGCATAATAAAATTATGTCTAAATTATAAAATTAAACCAACTTCTTACATCCTTGCATTAATTCTATCACATTATTTGGCCAACTCTCTGGAATACACAACAATTAGGTTAAAATAAAAAGCAAATACCTTAAATGTAGTTGAAGGTGGTACCTGTCTTTCTAAATGACTGTAGTTTAAAAAACCCAATTTTGTCTGTGAAATATTAACCATGGGATAGAACTGTAAGATCATGCTAGCATTTTTTCCTTATTTCCTTGTGAGACAAGTTTAACTTACAATAAGTAGAATCTAAGATGGTGTGCAGTTGCCAATCGGCACATAATGAATTAACAACTAACACCATGTTTCTTTTTCTGTGTCAGTGCACGTCTGTTACCAGAAAAGCTTACTGTTTACACGACACTAGTTGGGTTGCTGAATGCCAGGAACTACAACTTTGGTGGGGAGTTTGTAGAAGCCATGATTCGTCAGCTTAAAGAATGTCTGAAAGTCAATATGTATAATGAAGCTGTGCATTTAGTAAGTGATTGGTTGTTTTTTTGTTTTACATATTTCCTTATCCTTTTTCTCCTCGTTCTTTCATTTTTTTGTTCCAGAAGGGCTGGGCTTTTCAGCCCATTCTAGTATGAGAGCCTCTTCTGGCATCAATGTGCGGTGCATTGTAGATATACCAAGAAAAAAATCTGTGTTATGTGGGAAGTATTTCCTTCCTCAGGGGATAGAAATCATATCACAGTTGCAAAATTGACTTTCAACTGTATATTTTCCCAGTGACAAATTACTTTGCAGTAAATAGAGATGCTCCCCTCCTACCTGTTGTACGGACAAATGTAAAAGATAGATGACAGTCATACACTTCTATAGCATTCAGAGGTGTATGATCTTCTGTGGCGCCCATGAAAAAAAAAATGTAAAGGAACAGTCTGGTTCTCAAAAGCTATATTTGATGGCTGTTATCAGGCCCATGTTTTCATTCTGCTAATGAGGGGTGAAGATCAAGCAGGCAGTTTTAAGTGCTGTCTGTCTGTGAAGCTCAGCTCTTGCTGCTTATAGATTTTGTCTGCAAAAGGGCATTGGGACTTCAGCAACGTCTGATTTAGAAGCCCAGTGCAAAGCTCCCCAGCTTCTTTTGAAACCTACTACTAAAAATTAAGACTCTAGTATTTCAGTGTAATTTGTCAAGTGACTGCTGTTCAACTCTAGGACACTTTTTGCTAATAAAATCCTCATTATAACTCTGACTGTACTGTCCCTTGGCTTCAGCTTCACCTTCTCTCATGCTCATATACAAATGACTTGTGAGCATAACAACTACAGGAGTGGCAGTGGAACTCTTTCCTCAGCTTTGTCAAAATATTTTTCAAATACTGTTCAGAGCAATGAATTTCTGGAAAGTAAGAGTTTGGTACTTTTCTATTGCAGTTGCTCTCTGGGTACTGAAGTGTCTGCTCAGCCCAAATTGCTTTCCCAAGACTTCTTCCTAATGATCTGCCTTCAGATCAAAATACCTGTGTTGGGTTTTTGGACTACTTTTTGTGAGTGTGCCCTTAAGAAAAAAATGACCCTTTAAGAAAAAATGTGAGATTTTAATTGCTAGAATTTCAGCCTATATTGTTTGTTAAGATTGTGGTAATACTAGGAGGGCTTGGGTCCTACCAGAACTTTGTTTAAGTCTGAAGGTAGGATACAAATCAAAAGAGAAGGGAGAGAGGAAAAAAAAAAAAAGAGGCACTGCTCTGCCCCAGGTGTTTTCTGTCAGTCTGGATTTCTTACTAGAGTGCTGTCAAATCAGTTCCTGCTGTGGAGATTTTTTTCTTCCCAGGCAAATAAGGCCATTTGATTCCCAGCATGCCATCAATCTGTCACATTCCTGAAACGTGAAAGCGCCAGCCATTTTTGCATAGGCTCTGTGTAGCTATATGTATTTATGAGTAAATAACTACAGAAAGTGTATAATGGCATACAGATTCAACACTGCTGTTTCCTGATGCAGATATGCACTTGTGAAGCAAGGGATCAATCCATCTTCAGCTTTTTAGAAGTTTTTTCCCTTCTACTTCTGCAATTTTAGTGATCTGATGCCATTTAGAGTAGTCAAAAGCACAAAGGTTTTTTCTCTGTAGTATCAGTTTGCGTGTCTTTGAATGCATACTAGTGTTTCCTACCCTTTTCTGATTAGAAATATTATCCTTGCAATGCTATTGCAGTGAAACAGACTACAGACATCATAATGAATGGTACATCCATTAGGCAGTGCTTACGGTACTTGCTTTTCAGGGTTGAAAGGTGGATCTGTACAGTGTGCATTATTTCTACCTTTGTAGTACTGAATGAATATTGTGCGTTTATTGATGGTTTGTTTTAGTAGTTTAAGTAATCTTTATTTGTTCTTGTGCAGTCAGTTTAAAAAGTATTAATGTAAAATATTTTTCGGTCTTTTTTAGGTTCGTTTCCTGTCTGATCTTGTGAATTGTCATGTAATAGCTGCACCTTCAATGGTAGCTATGTTTGAGAACTTTGTGAGTGTGACACAGGAGGAAGACGTACCCCAGGTAAGCAAAAGATTTTTAGGCTCTTCTTGTGCTCTTTTCACAGTTTTTCTGTATTGTTGTTCCTGTGCTTTTGCTTAGAACAGGGAAGTTTTAGAGATAGCAAACTAAATGGACTGTCATATGTGGTTTCCTTAGCTTGAGTAAACAAAGCCTGTGGTGATTAGAAAATACACACAAAAAAGTATGGCCCTTTAGAGTGGGAAAGCTGAAGTGAATTGAATTTACCACACTTTGGCAAGTGTATATTGCCTGGTTTGTTCTCCTATATTGATAATCTACAGGACTGTAGAAGAAAGAAGGTTTAAGCTTGCTTGTCACAGTTCAACTTGAAAATTAGATATTTCAAGCAAGAATTTTTTTTTCATGGCTTGCCAATCCAGCCTTTAACTGCTTGTCTTTACATCCTCCTAAAGTAATAGTTTTGTTACTGTTTTAATTTAAATTAAAACGACATGTGTATACAGATTTTTGGATCTTACTTGTATACTCAGATTTCAGTATATTTCTTTCCTGTAGGTACGATGTGACTGGTATATGTTTGCATTTCTGTCATCTTTGCCTTGGGTTGGAAAGGAGCTGTATGAGAAGAAGGATGCTGAAATGGATCGTCTCTTTTCTCAGACAGAAAGCTATTTGAAGTAAGCTGTAAACCATTTGAAATCCTTGTCAGTATCTATTCAGATCTGGATTAATAGCTTTGAATATTGGTCACTTAAAAGTATTTGAAAGTTTTAGGTCTGAGCCATTCTGTGGAGAGATTAAAAAAAACCCTGAAAATAGAATAGGTGGAGAGATTTTTGAATTGTCTTGTCTAGTTCTAGGGTATATTGAAGGTCTTGTGCTCATTCTAGAGCAGCTGCAGTTGTAAGTGTGCTGTAAATACTGACAGTTCATTGCATTAGTGCTCTGCAGCATGACTGCTTTCTGTCTAGATGCTTCAAGTGAACATATTGTCAAGATATGTTAACAGATATTTTAAGTAGTCACAAATCTGATTTTTATATACTGTAGACCTCATCAACTAAAGAGATCAAATAGTAGTATGTTCATAAAGAGAAAAAAAAATTGCTGCCCTAAGTTAGTCTTTTAAAGGTCAGATTTTCTTTCCTGTGTAAACAGACGCCGCCAAAAGATTCATGTACCCATGCTGCAAGTTTGGACTGCTGATAAACCACATCCACAGGAGGAGGTGAGTGGACTTTACATTGCATTCTTTCAGAATATTTGGAAAACAATTTTTTACTAAGTTGTTTATTGTGAAATCAAAAGGCACCTTTAAAAGTATCAGTGCTTTGAATTGTCTCCTGTTTGTCGTTAATTCTAACAAGTTCTACATGAGGAATTGTCTTCTAAGTCTTGGGCCTAAATACAAGGTTGTATTGGGTGAGTAGGAGAGCATTTTGTTGTTTGCAGACAGGTCCCTGACAAAATGTTATGAAATGAGGAATGGTTGTAAATAATTGTTGTAAAATACTTGTTTTGGAATTGCAGGTACAGGGCTTCATGTTGAAAGGACTTTTGTGAGAAGCAGAATGTAGTTCCTTACTTACTCATTAATATTTTCCCTCTGCAAGAAAGAAACCTTTGTAGTAGCTTTGCTTTCTCAGCTCTAGAAACAAATAAGTAGAAATTGTATGCAACAATTACCATGCCATCTTTCACAGTTAAGCCAAAAATACTGAAGAAGAGAGGTGGCATTTGGCTATTCTGGGGTGGAATTTGCCTTTTCGGATATTCTTGGTTTTTTTTTTTTTCTTCCCCTACGTTTGAGGACAAAATTGGAAAGTGAGATCTAAATTAGTCTTCTTTTGGTATGTGATTCTCTTACGTTTTGTTTACTTTTGTGGTTAAATCAGCCTTAATAGTTGTCTTCTTAATCATAATTTTGAGAGATAGGTTGTCTTAATTACGATTGATTTGTCAACATGAGTGTTCTGGCTGCCCTATATCTTAATTTCCTTCAGAAGAGCGGAGTTCAACAGAGATTAGCAGAGTGTGTATGAGACGATGTGTTACCCAGAGTACTGTAAACATGACTTGTTTGCTTTGGGTGCTAGTTGTTACTGTGTCTCTTTGCATTTTGTAGTGTGATAATTTCAGTAACTGCAAAGCACTTCCACGTAGAGACATTTCTTGCACCAGCTGTAAGTTGAAACTTCTGTTCAGTAAGGCCACAAACCTTCCGAGTTCTTGGCCTGCATTTAGCAGTAGAGTAATTTAATAAAACAAGACTATTGCCAGTTGCACAGGTGTCTGTGCCATTTCTGTGTGAATGCTGGGACTCAAAATTGTGTGGAAAACCATGGCAAAGGTATTTTATATTTCATAGTATTTGATATTTTGTATTTGATATTTGTCTTCAGTGTATGGTAGCTGGTAGTTTTGATTGCTCTGGGAACAGCATGGCAGTCCTACAGAATGTCTTTCCAATTTTAATGTTGATCTTAAGTCTGTTTTAATACCACATACGAGCAGTAACTGAAGTAATGCTCTCTGCTGTAGTTTTGCTGGCAGATTCAAAGGATGGCTCTTTTGCTTGAACTCCTGGCTGGTGCTTAAAAACCTGCCAGTGATTAAACGTTACTGACAATGTGTGAAATTAGGAGCAGCTCTGGCATTTAGAATTGTTAAATTATTTCTTGGTTTACTAAATCAGCAATTTGAGAAACTGTTTGGTTTTTTTCCCTGAATGAAATACAGAATTAAGAAATACATTTCTGATAGTTCAGGAAGCTGCCAGCTTTGTTACAAGATTCAGTGCATCTGATGTTTCTCACCTTTTCTCCCAAGTATTTAGACTGCCTTTGGTCTCAGATTCAGAAGTTGAAAAAAGACCGTTGGCAAGAACGACACATTCTGAGGCCCTACTTGGCTTTTGATAGCATTCTTTGTGAGGCACTGCAACACAATCTGCCTCCGTTCACTCCTCCGCCTCACACCGAAGACTCGGTGTACCCGATGCCAAGGGTTATTTTTAGGATGTTTGACTACACAGATGACCCTGAGGTATGTGACTGCAGTTGGGGATGGTGAGTGGATTTCACTGTTAGGTTCCTGAGGCAATATTGATCAAAATGTGATGTCCCCACTCTCAGGATAATGAGTGGTTGAAGACCAGCAGCAGTTCTGCTTTGGTACTTCTGCAGAAATGAACTAGGTGACCCAGTTACTGTACAAAGCAGAGATGTGAAGAGCAGAATTTAGCGAGTGAAATACTGTGATGCTTTCATTTAGAATGACAATGTTGATTGGATTCCCCAATTTTCTAGTAAAACTACATTCACAGTTAAATTTTCTTTCCTTAAAGTCTGTGACTTGAGACTTTTTGCAGGCTAGGTATTTAAAGACTCTTGTTTACTGCTCTGTTAAAATTTGTTGATTTGTACTGCAGAACAAAGGACTGCTTAATTGGTCTGGGTGAAAGATCCATCTATGTCAGCATCTGCTTCCAACATTGGTCAGTAGCAGATATATAGACAAAAGTGTATAGGAATAGGAAAAGAGTATATACTGCTTTCCACAAGTGCTTTTATACCTCCCTTTACGTTAAGTCTGCTGCCTTTTACTTTCATTTATTGGAAGTGAAGGAGACCATGACTTTGTATTCTTTCTACTCTATCCTGGACATTCCTGGCTTTATTTCTTTATCATATTCCAGCTCAACTGATTTTTTTTATTTTTTTCAGCCTGCATGGTGGTAGCCTGCCTGATGGCTCCATTGAGCAAAGGCAGAAGTAGATGCTCCATGAGCTTATAATCATGTTCTGTAATTTTGTTCACTTTTTTTTAATGAGTCCTGGTATTCATTTTTAAACACTTCGTGTGGAATTGGCACACCAGCTTCTCAGTCCTGAAGGATACAGGGCAGCTGGGACCTCAGTATGTTTATGTGGAAGTTGGACTATTTTTTTTCCACCTATAAATGTATGTAGGATAGCTTTCGCTCTGTAGTATCACTGCGTTAGCAATGATCTTTCATGACTCTTAATTGTTTTTTTTACCAGGGCCCTGTCATGCCTGGCAGCCACTCTGTTGAACGATTTGTAATAGAAGAGAACCTCCACTGCATCATCAAATCCCACTGGAAAGAGAGAAAGACCTGGTAGGAAAAGCTTAGCACTGCAAGGCCCTGGTGCTTTCTATATGCTACCATGGCTTTGGTGGCATCAGGGATATTGATATGGTTTAGCCACAATTCAGTCCCAGCAAAACCAGGACAGTTACGCAGAGCCCTGCATTGGTTAGACAAAGACTCAAAGTTGAACATTTCCTAGAGCATTTGCTGAACTTGATTTACTACATTTATATACATTAAAACTGTTGCCTGGAATACTGTGGGTTTGTAATGTCCAGATAATGGACAGCCTATATGATCCAAGGGGATGGTGGCTCCTTGGGAAGGGAATTCCTTGATAATACAGGCAGCACTGCAAAAAATTTGCAGACACGCCATGTTTTTAATGGGAGCACTGTGGAGAGTGTGGTTTTGTTACGCTTCCTGGAATTTTGAAGCAGCTTATTTGTTAGGATGCAGTGAACCTTGAGCTGTTTCCTCTGCAGATGGCTCTGCACTGGTTGTTCATGAACATACACACTTCTGCTTCGTAGTCTTCCTTGTTGTATTATTCTTTCTGGGATTTCATGGCAGAGATAATAGAGCTCCCTCTGGGGAGTCATTGCAAGGCCAGCAGATTTCATTAGTTTTAATTCAGCCATGCCAGGAAACAGGACACTTTTCTTCATTTCTGCCTGAGCCATATGTGATGTGTGTAATTGATAACCGAGATGGTTTGTCCAGAGGTAATTGGCTGTATCATACTTCCAAATGAAAAGCCACCAAACTTTGTATAGTATGTGAAACATGGGGAGAAACAATGATTTTGGTGATGGCGTGTGATAAAGTTTTTCGATCACAGCTGTTTGATTCAACAGAAACTAGAAATTCAGGGTTGTTGCAGTTACTGGGATAGTCTTTGTTAATTCTCATAGGAAAGCAAAAGACTAGATGGAGATATAAGATTTGTCAAAGAGTTAGAAATAAAATCAAGGAAGTAGCAGTTGTTTGCTTTGTAATAATGATAGGTGATAATGAGCTGATTATAAGATGAAGCATTTGAAGCCTGATTTGTGTGACCCATTAGCTCAATTGTGCTTTCAGGTAATTGTGAACATCTGTTGTTTTGGGGGTATTTTCCTTTTCATGTGTGCATGCTAGAATTACAGATCACCATGACTATGCAGTATAGTGTTGAAGTGATGTATTTTATCTCTATGCAGTTACATCATTACAAATCATAGTTTAGGTAATGCTGGTATGTTTTTGTGCTGTTTCTGTTTCGAGTGTTCTGTGAGTTGATGGACAGACTAAGGATTGTTGATTTGTTTGCTCTGCTTTTGTGTGCACCTTTGGCCAGAATTAAGCATTTGCTGTAACTTTGTTACTTGATCTTTACATCACAATTATATCTATGATCTTGCAGTGCTGCACAGCTGTTGAGCTATCCAGGAAATAACAAGATCCCCTTGAACTACCACATAGTAGAGGTATGGATTTTATAAATAACCTCTTTTGTAACTCTGTTATTTCACAAGTAACATGTTGCAGTTAGTTCCATGGTAGATCCATTAAATTACAGTTTGATTTGGGAGTCAACCAGAACCTTGTTAAATTCAACCAATGGCTTTTAAATGAGCAGTTTATATACAGCTGAGTGTTAATTTTATGGGTTTTGTTGTAATTTTAACTTGGTGCATGGGAACTTTGGTCAAGTACCAAAATTTCATAGTATGCTAGTAATCCAGGTTGTGGCATTTGTCAAACTTTTAAAGTTTTGCTTGTGATTCTTCTAATGCATCGTGCAGTCTAAGAGATGGCTACATTTGAGTCACTTTTAGTTTAAAAAAAATGAATTAAAATACAATAAAAACTGGATACAGATTGAAATACAAGAAACTTGATTTAAATGCAAGAAAAATCTTGTTTTACTGTGAAGGTGATCAAACACTGGAAGAGTTTGCCCAAGGAAGCTGTGGAGTCTCTGTCCTTGGAACAGTTCAAACCCTACCAGGGTCCTGAGCAGTGTGCTGTAGCTGGCTCTGCCTTACACGGTGGGCTTTCGACTAGATGATCTTCAGAGACTCAGCCATTTTGCATGATTTTATGTTTGGGTCTTTTAAATGTTTGGGTTATTTTTTTTCCTACTGGTCCTGAAGAGAACTTAGAGTGAAACAAAAGTATGCTTAAAATAATTTTTTAAAAATAATTTTACTAACCATGATGTGTATCAGAAGAGCAGTGTATGTTTTCTTTTGCTGCCTCCTTTCAAAGGTCTGTTTTCAAGATGCAGAACTATATAAAACTTCATTAATTTCCATCAAAATTTGAAAGGGATTAAGAGATTTCAGTAATAATGGCAACTTGTCATATAAAGGATTTATGAAGGAACTTTAAGTAGGAATTTCAGAGCTAATTACTACAAGAGATAATCTTATGTAGAAGATGTATCTTAATAAAAGTGGAATTGAGAATTTCTCTTGACACCAAAATGCCGAATATTCTGAATGCTGTAAAGTTACATTACCTTTGATCAGCTTACTCTTTGTACTCTGAATTCAGAACAGAGAAATCTTCAAATAAACAGTATTTTTCTGCCTTAACATTGAAATATCCTCAATGGTTGTATCTTCGGGTGCTATGTATGGCTGTGTGCTTTATGCTCAGCTGTACACTAATGCCAGCAAATAGTTACTGCAATATCTGATGAAATAAGTTACCTAAAGGCCCTGGAAGTATGTTGTTTCAGAATCTTGTAGGGTGTGAAATTAGCAAAGATTTGCGTAGTTGAAATTACTGTAAAGAAGTGCAACATTGATGTAAAAAAATATTATTACTGTCATAATTTCCTTTTTCTTGCCATTTTGAGTTATTTTAGAATATTAACTTCATTACTGCTGCTTACTTCTAACAATGCTCCAGAGTTTTTAAGGCTTAGCATGCCTTTTTCAGGCTTGTGTTCATTTTGCTTACTATTGCTCTCTTGTAAGGGCTCTCTTAGTAGTCAAGTTGGTGATATGTTGCTTTTAACAAGTTCAGCTAACTTTTTCAGTAAGTCACAGAACTGTAGAAATGATATGGTCTAACAAAAAAAATAAGTGTTGTTTAAGGTTTACAACATAACAGGCAGAAGGGAATGTAGTCTGAAAGTGGTTGTCAGTACCTTCCCAAGCATGGCTACTTTTCGATCCCAGAGACTTCATGGCAGAGTTTGTCAAGCCCAGCACAGAAAGCTCCATGCTACCTGGAATCTGTGCAAAACTCTGAAATGTGATGCCTTTCTCTCAGTAGCTGCTTATAGATGCACATGTGGCTATTTCTGGTAGCTATGAACCCAGAGAATGTCTGGGCAGCGTCATTGGCTTGTTGGGACTGTCCCGCCCTGTTTTGCTCTTGCAGCTTTTGGTACAACTTGCTCTCAGCAGAGTTTGAATGTTCAGATCATCAGTGCCCTGATCTTTTTTGTGGCCTTGTTATTTTCACAAAGTATCGTTTCAAAGTACTTAACATTTAATATGGGTGTTTGATAATGAACATGTAATGAATATCACAAATACAGTTTTATGCACTGCCTCAAACAGATAATGACTGATCATTGAGTTGTTATTTCCTATGTTGAGAAAAGGAGCAGTTTTCTACCTAATAACGTCCCCCCGTTCTTTTTTGCCACATATATCTTGACAGTATGTCCAGATTATGCTGTCACAGAAAGGTCCTCCAGCTCCTTATGCTTTCATGTCCTTCCTTAGAATAACAGATTCTAGTCAATATATTTTCATGTGCTGTTTGTGGAATATATAAATGGATGTTCGTTTATTACACTAGTAAGAAGATTTTCTAAAGCTTACTCACGTGAGCCTCAATTCTTCTGTGTTTATTCAGAAGTTTAACGTTAAAGAGGAAATTGACCAACCATAATGAATCAAAGTTTCTGGATTCCTTTGGTGTAATTTATATGTAGTTGAGAAAGGCATGCAAAATAAACAGAAACTCAAAGGTGAATGTTGTACAGTGATGATCCTTTCACAGCTTCTGAAGATTGACAAACTGTTATTATAGGTAAACTTGAAAATAAAGATGCAAGTAAAAATACAAATGCTGACTACAGGATTGTTTTCAGTTTTCTTAGAAAGATCCTCTGCCAGGGGGTACTGAGCATCTATTTTTGTTGCACGAAATGCTGGTTGTAATTTTCAGTTGAAAGCTATGGCTTTATTTATGTGAGTTTTTGTATAGGAGAAAGAGGGCACAGTGGTAAAGATAGAGATGTAATTTGAATGCAGATTGTCCTTCATACTAAATGCTTAGGCTTCACTTAATATGTTTAATATTTATATTATTTAACAGGATCATATTATTTTGCCTTAGATCATGTGGTAGCACTGCAGTAGGTCACAGAATCACAGAATCTTGGGAGTTGGAAGGGACCTCAAAAGATCATCCAGTCCAACCCCCCCTGCCAGAGCAGGATCACCTAGACCAGGTTGCACAGGAACATGTCCATATGATAACTGCCAATTTCTACAGTTGCTTGGTATATTTTTTAGACATAATAGATCTATAATGCTGGTGCTATGTTAGTATGAAATAAGGGCAGTTAGTGCAGGCTACATCAGACTGCTCTCATTCTGTGCCTTCGTCTCCTGCAGGTGATATTTGCAGAATTGTTTCAACTTCCATCTCCGCCACACATTGAAGTCATGTACACAACGCTCCTGATTGAACTGTGCAAACTTCAGCCTGGCTCTTTACCGCAAGTTGTATCCTTTCTGTGCTGCTAGAGGGCATTTATTAAATGCAGGCTTTATTTTGTTTGTTCTGTAGATGATGGGATAGCAATAAATACTGGCAGTATTAATATTTTACAACAGTTACATGCAACTTTGCCTGTACCATGTGAAAAGGTAGCACAACCCACTTAGCACAGGCCTAGATTTGCCAAGTGTGCAAGACTCTTCAGTTTTCTGGACACTGTTCTGGTACTTCCTCTGACCTTACCTGTCTTGGTGAGGGAATAAAATACAGTACTCCTGCTTGTCTTTGCAGCCTGTTTAGGTCTCTACAATGTGTGGCATGGTGACGTTAAAGGTTGAGAAGGAAAGGAAGTGACGCACTTGATCTAACACCTGTGTGAGTGCTCCTACTCTTTTTTTAGGAGGAAGTAAGTATAGCAGATGATTTAAAGGAACTTGTCTGAATTCCCACTCAGTGCTCCCACTAGGAGCTTTGAAAGGTCAGAAATCATCTGTCAACTTGGATAGTGTGGCTGAATGCTGAGGAAAGAGGCATGACTCCCAGCTAGTTATGACTATTACATTGCCCCTAATTTGCTGCCATTTTGAGTCATGTTAGATCATTGTTTTATATCAAATGACAGACTGAGAATGGAGGACAGTTAACAGATGTCTGTCCACTGGTAACTTCATGCCCAAATTTTCATTCTCCTTCATGATACCACTTACTGTTTGCAAATCATGTAATCTAAATTATTTGAGACCAGTCTGGTTTTAGAACTGGGCAAATGTCCATGCAGAAATTTTTTGACGTTAAGAGGGTCACCGTAAGAAGAATAAAGGCCTTGTTGCATAAAGGCAGGTTAGACATAACTTTCTCAAGCCTTCAGTGATGATCAAAGATTGTGGATAATCATCAACAGCAGCCCATGAAGCTAGACTGGTGAGATTGCAGAAGTACTCCGTAAGAGGGTTGGTATCTGTTCACGTCAGTGCAGTTTTGGTTGTTGCATGGTGCAAACTCTGGATTTCTATGGAAGAAGCAGTCTTGTTGCAATAATGGAATTAAAACAGACTGGGATTAGAGGGTAGAACTTGCAATGTGCTTCATCTTTTTCCACTATGGGTTTACTGTGATTTGTCTGGTTTTTTTGGAGTAGACCCAGGTAGCTTTCAGTACAAAAAATTGATGACATTGTGTTAAAGGAATAACATCTGACTTATCTATTGCTTTTCTATAAACCTTAATAAGAAACTTCCAGCTTGCACAAGCCACAGAAATGCTCTACATGCGTTTGGATACAATGAATACAACATGTGTGGACAGGTAAATGTGCTTTGGAGATGATGGAAAATATTCTTCAATATTCAATGTAGAGTGAAAATGAAGTGGCTGTGGAAAGAGCAGTCAGCAATCCTTGTTAGAACTTCTTGGTGCTATTCAAAATGTTTTCTGGGCTCTGGCTTTGAGCTACTTAAAAGAGAAGCTGGAGGGCTGACTCTTGCCTCTCCTTCCCAGAAACACTCCCCTGTAGGTCACAAGTCCAGCTGTCCATACAGGACAGTTAAGACTGGTCACAACTTCTCCACGTTCAAAGCTGTCCATAGCAGCAAAGTACTCTGTTACCTGGTACGATGCCAGCTCCCTAGCAGTCTGGGAGGTGACTGGGAAGTGGAGTTAATGGCATATGTGCCACCCAGAGAAGAGTGATGGTCATTTTGCACTTTGATTGAAGTCTGCATTGTGTAGGAGAGCTGTTAATTACTTATTAAATATGTGAAAGTTGTGTATTCACAGGAAGTTTACATTTTAATTGTTAGTTTAATAGACATTTCTTTTTATGAAACAATAGAACATGACAGACTGTCCATACAATCCAACATAAATTATTTGTTGACAACATCTATCAACATAAATACCTGTTTAATGCTGTAACAGCTTTAGAGTTTAGGCTTGCCTTTGAAAAGTAGAATGCATTTATAAGAAAATCTCAACTGAAAGTTTTCCTGCACTTTTGACATTTAATGGAGCTTTCTTTTTCTTTTAATAAAGATTTATTAACTGGTTTTCTCACCACTTGAGCAACTTTCAGTTCCGTTGGAGCTGGGAAGACTGGTAAGTTTCTCTTTTTTTCACTCAAACCTGATACTAAAAAAAATGTAAAATTTCAAACTTAACCAGGAAGTGTCACAGCATAGTGGCCCTGTTAATTGCTTTCCTCGAGCTCTTCAGAGGTCTTTCTTAATCTGTTCACCACTGCTCAGTGGTGGATTATCTCGATAATCTCTTTAGTCACTGTATTGTCACTGGTGAACTTTGTGCTAAATTTCAAGCCAGTGTGTTTCCCAAACAGGGGAAGTAGAAATAGTTTCTTTCATTTGTCCTGCACCCTCAGTCAGTTGCTAGCAAATTTTCCAAAATTACACCCAATTTACTTCTAATGGTTTGCCCTGACTGTCTCCTGTATTCATTTTGTAATCTTGCTCTTTGTCTTACCTTAAACCTTTCATTTTAACCTTTATCCTTGAGAACCTGTAATCTGTTTTCCTCCTGCCAAACCCTAGCACCTGTTGTTCAATCAGAACTGTCTGCTGTCAATTCTTACAATGCCAAATCTTGAACTTGCATCTCTAGCAGGAGGTCCCTAGACTCCATCAGTATCTAACCACAGATTCCCCTGAGCTTTCCATTCCAGGCACCCATGCAGCATAAGAGATCACCTTGGGGTTAAGTCCTCCCTACAGTAACTTCCACAGCCTGCTACATACTTTTAGTAGCTGATCTTTCCAAGTGTCCTGGAGAGGGGTGATACATTTGTAGCTTTGTGATATGTTTTTGTGGCTTTTCTTAAGTTTCTTACGTTGTCCTCATGTGGAGTTAAGTGCTTGCTGGCTGTCCTAGTATACATCCATGTTGTCTGACCAGGCAGCCATCTTCTAAGAGTTAATTTTTCTTTGCCTGGATGTTCCCTGATGGCAGTGCTTCTGTGGATCTCTCTCACAAGCTGCCATTTTTCACAGAAATTGCAAGTTACTGTATTTGAGGCTTTTCTTTATCTGAAATGTATTTGAAATCAGCCAGAAGTTCAAAAATTCCTGTGAGGGAGAAACAGACAGTGAAATCACACAAGGTTCCTTTTCTAAGGGAAGGGGAAGCCAGGTAACTGTAAGCACAAATTATTTTTAGTCTGGTGGGGAAAGGAAATCTACTTGAAAGTACATCACGGAGATGAGATTCGGAGAATGCTAATGGCCAATAAGGAAATAGTGATAAGCTTACTTCATTGTCTTAAGATTGCCTACATTGTAAAACTAAGTGTCAAGCACTCTGGTTGTCCTTAGGCCGTGATTGTTTTGTACCTATTAGACCAAGGCAAAAAGAGTAAAGCACAAATTCTTTTTCTAAAAGCTATCATATTCTGTCCTTTGATAGGTCAGATTGTCTTACTCAGGACCTTGAAAAGCCCAAACCCAAATTTGTGAGAGAGGTTTTGGAAAAGTGCATGCGGTAAGTAAGATCTTTTGCTAGTTGCATTCAAGGCAAAGTTTGATCTTTGCTTCTGGATACTGTCAGATTCCTTTTAATTTGACTCTTGTCTTAGGTACGTCTGTTCTCACGATTTCATTTTAGATAGGATGTAAGTCTGTTGATTGTATAGACTTTAACCTGGTTTACCTGCTGTAGGAGACAACACTACTTTAGAGAGGAGTAGAAACAAGTGTAGCAGGTGGTAGTGAGTTGTCAATCCCAGGTATGCACATCTGTAGTTACAAAAAGCTGTGCTTCACCATAGGCATGGAAAGAAAGAGTTGAAGCAATATTCCTGGGAAGTATTCAGCAATCACAAAAAGAGGAGGGAACTGATGATTATTTATACTGAAAACTGATAATCTAACCTTGATTCTTCTAGGTTCCTGTGGTGTTCATTGACCTTAAAACAAATAAACAGCCCTCCAAACAAACAAACAAAAACCCCAAACCCAACAACAAGAGTGCATTGTCAGGGCTGGACTTAAAAGTGTTGAGACAGAGCGATATAGAAGAGAGAGAGCAAAATGTTCAAAAAGCCTATTCAGCATCCTACATTAAATCATTCATCTGTTTTTGGGTAAATTCAGTACAGGAAGTGTGAAAGTACGTGCTGCAAAATGAATGCAGTTTTTCTGTGGCACTTTCACTGAAAATTCTGGTAGCAAAATTAAGCTTTTGTGGAGTGAAATAAGCTGAAAAGTAAAATGAAGATATCCAGTTTAATATTTTTTTTTCTGTTTCGAATATCAACATCTCACTAGTTTTCTGCAGCGCATCATAGGCTTTTGCATAAAACATCCTACCAGGTGCCTATAAATCTGTTCACAAGCTGAATTAATTGTATGAAAACAAAACTAGCATCCCAGAGTTCATATAGAAAGCATCTGCTAGCATGTTTGGTTTACTTAGGTCTTACTGCCTGGCAGAAACTATCATTCTGTTGTGTAAACATCCTTATTTTTGTTCTATGAAAGTTAAATCTAGGAAGACCATTATAAAGCAGTCACTTTAGAGTTAGCCCTGGTGACACTCCCATTTTAATTATATTTTGTGAAACTTGCTATTTCTAGACTCTCCTACCATCAGCGAATAATAGACATTGTTCCTGCAAGTTTTTCTGTCCTCAGTCCTGCTAATCCAGTGTGCATTTACAAGTATGGAGATGAAAGTAATAGTAAGTATTAAAGTTACTGAGGGGTCAAGTTTAAGAAAAGAGTGTTTCAGAGCAAGTGAGCACGCTAGATTGATGGTAATATCAGTTGTCTTCATGAAGAATACAGCTGAAATAAATATGCAGGATTTTCATATGGGTAAATATGTTTCACATGGTCAATTAATACATATTACACCTGGATCCCTGTAATATAATCCTCTCTGTTACTTTATGAAGAAAGGAAAATCCTGATACATGAAATTACTTTTGCTGAGGTGGTTGTGGCGTTGTGCATCATTGTTTGCCAGAAGTCTAAAATTGGCAATTTCATTGATTTCCCCTGTTTGGGCACAATACTATGCAAAAGTCAGCATATGAAGTGATAATGTGAGTTTATTTCTTTGAACTTCATGAAACAGTATATTTTACCAGTAAACTTGGTTTGATGAAGCATACAGAGGCAGCACATGATGTAAGAATTGGGGTAGAGAGATACCTTATTATTACTTTTATTACTCACTGTAAAGACAGTCCTAAGCATAAAAGTTTCATCATCAAAGATACAGTGAGGAAAAACAAGAAAGTTCTGTATTTTTAGCAAACTGGTGGGAGCTGAAGTAGAGCTTTAGACAGGAGAGTGGTTATCTGACCTCAGCTCTAAAGGTTCTACTGAAAGTTTTAAATTAACCTGAAGACCAGGAAATGTGCTGAGCAGTTTTGTGGAACGGTGATGTGGACAATTATATTAGAAAGGACTAGTTTTACGTGTAGCTGGGAAGTGTACTTGTTTCTCTGAGAGGCAAACTGACGCTGAAAATACGTACTTGCCTTCTGCATAATTTTGACGTCTTTGCTTTTGTTTAGGGTCTCTTCCTGGATATACTGTGGCACTCTGTTTAACAATTGCAATTAAAAATAAGGCCAGTAACGATGAAATCTTCGGCATTTTAAAAGATGTGCCTAATCCAAACCAGGATGATGATGATGGTAAGACATATGCTGTTGGGCTTTGGCAGGGTGCAATTTCTTTTGTGTGTAGACTGATCTGCCATTCTTTGGGGCTATGGGTGTGGTAGTTAACAGAAGTGTATGTTTTTCCTCTAATAGTTATTGCAATTTATCAGTAAATGGAAATAACACACTATTGTTAGGTTTTTTCTGTAAACATCTTACTTGTTCATGAAGGCCTGGTTTTCTTAACAGAAGTAACCTGGTGCTCGTGGTCTCTTTTCTTGTGATTATTGACAGGTGTAGCAAGAAAGAATTTAACACTTCTTTTCCCTTCAGCAACAGCGTAGTTTGTGCTGTTATCCTTCCCCTGAGATTCAGGGCTTGTGCCCTGAGAGCTTGCCTCCCCTTGGTGCAGTCTCATGACAGATTACAATAGCCAGCCTGCTGGCTGAAGTCTTCCATAGATACAAACTCACAGTGAGACTCCACTCACATTGTTTTTAGCTTTGCAGCCACAGACAGTTTTGATTCCTAAAGCCCTGTGTGTTTTAGGGAGTGAGAAGGAGCGTGAGACAGAGAATTAAGTGATCTTTACAATGGATACAGCTTCAGTATTTCTGTAATATTTGCAAATGTTCTGTTATGCAAGCAGAGAGCAGTGACGATGTGTTTTTTGCCCTGGGATCCACTGTTGTGTTTCGTGCTCTGCTTTAGGCATCACCTACTGAAGAGTTCTTTCCCTCCTGCTAGTCTTCAGCTGTGAGTAGCTGCAGATACAGGAGGGGACTTGGCACCGTTCACCCCTAGTACCCATACTTGAGATGCACACTTGCTGGATCCTTCTCCCATGTCAGAAATAACTAGCCTCTGTATCATAATCATCCTTACCTTCCCCTCTCCTCATCCACTCTCCATTCCTTATGGTCTGCCAGGCCTTCAGCTTGATGTATAACTGCATTTTCCTTTGCTGTCTTTCTCTGCTGCTGTTGGTAGGGTGTTGCTTTGCTGCATGTTGGTAGGGTGGCTGTCTCTCTGATGGCTTCTTTACTGACCTCAAATTCTTTCTACATGTTTTCTCCATGACAAAATGGGAGCCTGAAGATCTGCACATTTTGGAAAACCTTTACTAGCTCCCTGCTCAGCCTTGCAAAACCCTATTGATGAAACTTTTTTTTGTGAAATGGGTTGAAACCATAAGTTGTCGCTACATTTTTATGAGTAGCTTTTGTGCTTTACTTCAAGTACTTACAGTTTCAACTTTAAATAACTTGCAGATGAAGGATTTACGTTCAACCCTCTGAAAATAGAAGTCTTTGTTCAGACTCTGCTCCATCTAGCTGCAAAGTCTTTCAGCCACTCCTTCAGTGCCCTGGCAAAGTAAGTGTAATATGTGCATTATTTTGGGGTTTACAGAACTGTTTAATTCTGACAGTAAAATGCATGATAAAAGAACTGGACTGCAAGCTTCAGCAATGGTTTAGTGCTTCACAATGCAGTAGGATTTGGAGAACTAATGACACTGCTTACTGAAGGAATAGTAGTGTAAACAGTAGGTTACAAATGTGAATGGAATTGGCAGAAATCTGCACATTACAGCCATGTGATGTAAATCAAATAAATGAGACATTTGTTTGGAACATTGCTCAGTTTTAGAGTTACTCATTTACCGATTATGGCGAGGAGCAAGGGTTTCTCCTTACATTTGAATGACTGGGTAACTCCCACCACAGTATCTTGTACTGTGAATATGACTCTGGAACAGCAACATTTGTCTAAAAGATTAAGAAAGAAAAATAAAACATAGAACTTCAAAGCAGTCTGCTGTAAACGTCTGTCTACTACAGCACAGTAAAATCCATTCTAAAATACTCCAGAGTGCATCCCTTAAAGATACAGATATACTTTAACTTCTAAAGAATTTACTGCACCTTTTTTAGCAAAATGAGATAGAATAACTAGTTTTTAATCCTCTGTGCTTTGGAGATGCTCTTAAATGGTCTTGATACATGAAAGGTAGTCACATGCATCTTAATGAGTTATTTTTCTATCTGCCCTTAAAGAGAGAGAAAGCTGTTACAAAAACATGCACCTGGGAGCTTTACAGAGGCAATGTTGATAAGAAGCTGTAGGTAGTAACCTGCATTCAAGGCTGAGTGATATGAATACATAGAGCCATGGTATTTTCACTGCCGCACACCAGCAGTGGCAGTCATGAGCTCAGAAAGGGCCTCTTATGCTTTATAGTTATATTACAGTAAGCTGGGTTGTGAATGCTGTGTAGCAGTCAGAGTAACTCTGCTAAAATAGAGGCTTTTAGTAGCATTTCCTTCAGAAAGTGGCAGATTGGGTAAGTGTCTAAAATTACAGAAATGCCTATCAAGAGGAAGGTCTGAGGCTCAAAAGGCAGCAATTTTTGCTCCAGCTATGTGTAGATAAGCACACGAAGCATGAAACTGCCTCCTGCTTTTAAGAGTATGAGAAATGCTTCAGGGAGTAGGTTCACCACTAAAATTTAGGTTGCTTTTAGGAGCTGGCATGTCTTTGTAGCCTATTTTAGCTCAGGATGGTTATATTTTCCAGGGAATAGTTGTTCAAGAATTGCTGCAGATAATAATATTTTATTTTGTCCAGTCTAAGCCACTTGCCTTGTATCTGCTGCTCTTTTGACCTGATCCCATCCCCTCTGCTGACTACTTACATGTATTAAAAGGTTTCATGAAGTCTTCAAAACACTTGCTGAAAGTGATGAGGGGAAACTCCATGTTCTGAGGGTTGTGTATGAGGTTTGGAAGAATCATCCACAGGTAAGAGGTTGCAATGTCAAGTATCTTTGTGAGTTTCAAATCACAGAGGTTATATTTAATAAAAAACACTACAGATTGCTTTATATCCTTTAAAAATAACTTGTCTATTGTCATCTTATTTGAAGAGAAGTTCAAATTTTGTTTACTGTTGTTACTAGTGCCTAAAATGGAGGCTGGATGGACTTAAAATATATACCATCAATCAGGTCACTTCTTCCTCAGAGTTCATTGTGGGAAGGCAAAGGTTGTCAGTCTGAGTCAGATTCATACTAAGTTGTTTGTCCTACAAGAGAATAACTTCTAAAATCGTGTTTCTGTTCAAAATTGGAAAACAGTGTAGATGTGTAAATTGAAATAAGAGGTAGATCTCATAACAACAACAGGCCACATTCTTGAAAATATGGGAACCTGGGGGTTTTTAGGGATATTTTTTTTTAGTTGCTAGTGAAAGCCATACAGTTATTCCACAAGGCTCATATTGGAGTCATGTGTGGGCAGAGTGAGTAGAGCTGCAGTCAGTGGCTGTTCAGAACAGATCAGTCTGACTGATTGCGTTCATTCTTGAGCCAGAGGAAATAACAGCCGAAAAGACCTATGAAAAATGCCTCAGTTGTTTAAGCTGTTCAGTTTCTTCACAGCAGTTGTTTTCTCCCTTAGCTGTCATTCTTCTATAAATAGAAAATGATAAGGAACTCAAGCTGAATTTGCCTGCATTAGTTATTTCACTTATTCCTTACTGGTGTGTTTGTGTTGCACTTTATTTATTGACTGTACCTCACAGCTATGTAGGCCAGACTTCCAGAGGCAATGCCACTGAGAACAAGGGTTAGTCCTTGCATCTGCTCCTGGACCTGTGATCCATTCCCTAGAGTGAAAACTGAGCATCTAGAAGATACCTATGCAAGATGTCACCTCTTTTCTAAGTACAGTAAAAACATCAGAAAACCAGGATTTTTAATATTAAACTTCCTATTCAAATTACTGGCCTTGAAAATGTGACCATTACAGTCTGACCTACTTTTTATCACCATTTAACTGGATCAGAGGAAATTACGTTACTGCAATCTAATATCAGTATCTTCTTCCTCTTCTTTTCTTTGTATTGCAGCATGACCATACTGAAATGGGGGCTTCAAACGCAGACTAAAGGGTCATGTTAGATTTTTAATAATAAATCAAGGTTGCTTTTAAAAATATCAAGTGCAAAAGTTATGAACTTCTGCTGTTCTGCTTGATCACAGAACTTAATTGTTCTTCTCTTGCATTTATTGCAGTTCAGTCTTTTGCTTCTGGTCAAGCACTTTGCTTTTTTTCTCAGTCCACAACCTACCTGGCACACAGAAGAAATTGTGCCTGGACAGCAGAATGCTTGTCCAGAGTGTTTTCACTCGCCCTGCACCCATGTCTATGGGAACATCCATCAAAGGCTGGATTAGTTCAGGTTATCAGCAGTATTCTCAAGATGTGTTGTGCTAATGAGTGATCTATGCTGCAGATAGTGATTTAGCAAATCTAGTAGTCTCTGGATGTATAAGCAAGGTTGTGGTAGTGACTGCATAAAGAGAAACTTTAAAATTGAGATTAAATATTTTCTTAAAATCCTAGTTCTGTGTTTTTTTGAAGATCAGGCTAAGTAATCAGAAATTCTTCCTGGCAATACAGAAAGACAAATAAAGCATAGGATGCTATCCTGGGACTTGAAAGTGGAGTGCTGGGTCTTCTCTATGATTCATTCAGTTATTTTAATTTTCCTTCCTTAAAAGGAGCTTTCTTACACTTCCTTATTTGACAATGGGTGGTTGTAAGGATAAATACAGTGCAGGCTGTGGTTCTTAGATACTGTGGGATTCAAGCACATGAGTAACTAAGATAAGCCTTTTTCCTGAACAGCTTGCAACTGCTTTAGTCAGTAGCTCCTCTCTGCAGTTGCCTGCTTAGGTGGCTTGCAGCCACCCTAGAATCATTGGCAGTGCCTGTAGCAAGTGAGCGCTTCCATTGACTACACAGCACTGGCTCTGTCCTGACACTAATAGGTCCTGTAGAGAAGAGGTTACTGTCACATTTGAGGACTGTTGCAGTTCAAGGAGAGCAGGTGAACAGTAGTTCCTTCATTATGGTGATCGACAGGTGTATGTGCTCTGGTTTGAGTACTTCCGTGTCAGATAGTAGGACTTGTCTCTAAGGCCTCAATTCCAACTATGATGCTTGTATTTTCTTGCTTTTGTATGGAAGTATGTATGTTAACAAACTGATGCATCAGTTTCACAAGAAGTAGAAAAGGTTGTTAAACAAAATCAGAATGCTTTATGTAATTCATATAGATCCCATAATTTGAGCAGTTTTAGGCTAGACTAGCCAGCTTCCTAAAGTATTTGAAATTACCCAGTAATATCACTAACGCAGAGTTGTATCAAACCACTTCTGGTTTTATCTGGGGCTTGAATACTTTATGCAGTTTGTGTGTGCAATGTCTTTCACAAAATATAGATGATTGCTGTGCTTGTGGACAAGATGATTCGGACACAAATTGTTGACTGTGCTGCAGTAGCAAACTGGATCTTCTCTTCAGAGCTTGCACATGACTTCACTAGGTAACAAGAATTTGTCTTGGGTTGTTATTTGTCTCTGAAGTACTATTTTAATTGACCAGTACATAGTTTAATCTATGAAAACTGAATAGTGGCAAAAAAGGTACAATTAAGCTTTTGCTTCTTTTACAGAATACATACTTCAGCATTTTTCTTTCTAAGTTGGGGTATGACTGTTTATGTGACACTGCAGAAATGCTACTAACATGTCATTTTGCAAGTAGTCTCTAAGCCTGCCAAAGCAGAATGACACTGGCACTATTTCTAGACAGTCTGTTGCTGTGTGTTAACTGCTAGCTTAGTGTGGTCCTGGTCTTTGTTTAAGGTATGTAACTTGTACCACCACTGACACGTATTGAGAGCAGGAAAAGTGTTTGATCTGAGAAGTCAGTTTGATGTTTGGTAGTCTTGCAGTTTGTGTATGAAGTACAAAGCTAGTTTGGAAGTGTACTGCAAAAAAAAAAAAAGAAAGAAATGATTGTTTGGGTTTCTTATGTTACAGGTATGCATTCCTATATATGAGTATTTGTATACTCTAGTAGATGTCTTAGATGACACTAAGTTTTTTTTAATTTTCCACAGATACACTTTTCTGTGAAAAATTACAATTCGTTTTCTATCTTGGAGTAGCATGAAATGTAATGGCTTGAGCTTTGTCTTTCCTAGGTTTTATATCTGGGAGATCTTACATTCCACAATTCGTAAGATGAATAAGCACGTTCTGAAGATTCACAAAGAACTGGAGGAGACTAAGGCAAGATTAGCCAGACAGCACAAAAGAGTGAGTATTTTGTTCATAATTTTTAGTTATTTTAAGCTAAGTTTACAAACCTGCATGCTGTCAGTCTGACGCACAGTTGGTTTTGGGAGTAACTGAATAAATACGTTTATCAGGAAGCATGTTTGCAGACATATGGTCTTCTGTAGCACTCGGACATCAAAAATGGATGGATGTTCTCAGTCCACCTTTCTCAGTTAGCTATAACTAAGCTAAGAATTCAGTAAAATCTTTAAGGGAATTAATATGTATTTGCTCTGTTCAAGCTTGCTCTCACAAGTTTCTCTTCCAAAATGAGCATGTCTCCCACTTGCCTTCTAATCTGGATTCCAGTTACCTTATTAGATAACAACAGTTACAAATCATTTATAGTCAGTTCTGTTAAAGAGTACTCTTGTGGCTTCCATGCAGAAGTGCACGGAAACAGCTATTTGCTTTTGAAAAGTTGGCTGTTGCTGTTCTTCTGGTGGATGCTGCGGGATTCTGACCCTGGCATCTATTGCTCTTCTTCCGACTTATTTTTCAGAATACATTTGCATGATCTGGGTTACTATATACAAACTGATGAGCAAGCAGACACTGTTGTGTTCTTTTTTTCTCGAGTAGGACAGTACAATGGGGTAAGGAGGGTCTTCTGTGGCAGCTGCAAAAGACAAGGCCCAACAGGGCCTGGCTGGATGCAATACTTAGTCCTGGTAGATTGAATTCAGTTTGTAAGCATCTTGAGAGTTGCAGAGAGCAAGAGTGAATTTCTCTGTATGTAGGCTATGAGTGTGACTACCTGCATAAAACCCTTAGCTAACTCCAAAACTTTGGATGAAGTTAATGTCAGAATTTGGCACATGGCACAGAGGCTGCTGGTATTTTTTGGAGAAACCCGCACAAGTCAGTCATTTTTCCAGAAGTTTCTGTTGAGAAACCGTTAATACCTCACAGTTCGTCAGTGCCAGCTCATCCTAGCACCTTCATTTTGTTTCCTTCACTCCCAGCAACAGCCATCCTAGTTGCTTGCATCCTCCATCTGCATTGATCAGCAGTTAAGAAATGCCTGTGATTATTGAAGACCTAGATGCAGTCATTGATCTTACTATGAGGCAAAGAGCTTCTCTGGCACCTCTAAACAAATATACCAGTGTTTTCATTTCTGTACTTGTCTCTTGCTGTAGCTCTTTATTACTGAGTACTTTAAATAGAGTATTGTGCCAGGAAGCAACATTTGTATGCAACAGTGAGTAGTTCTGCAGGCTGTTGCTCTGCTGCATGACCATTCCTTTTCGAGGAGGTAAGCCATCAAGTTTTGATGTCCCTAGCATGAAGTGGATTGCCTTACTACAGAATGAGTCCAAGGCTTACATGCTTTCTCTTGGGTCCTATTGGTCCTTCAGCACTTTAAGTTTAGGAGAGCTCTGTAGATGGAGAAAAAGCAAGTTCCTATAGAGAAAATAAATTCTCAGTTTCTCTGGTAAGTGTTTTATTTTTCATACTGATTCAGAGCTGTAACTATCTTCTCATTGTGAGTTTCATTGCTATGCAGTAGGTTAGCTAACACATGGCCCTGTATTTGTCACAAGTTGCGCATGCTCCTTTTCCAAATATTTCAGGTTTTGAGCTGTTAATTTACGGTTGTTTTTGCACAGAAACAATCCTCTGAGACTAAAGCAATATGTGTATTTGAATGTACCATAATCTGTTAGATTTTGTCTTTGCACCTATATCTTTTGTACTCTTGTGTAAGACTTGGTTACCTGAGCTCCCAAGTCTGGTACTTAGGCCTATTTTGTGGGGTTTGTTGTGTTGTTTTGTTTTGTTCTTGAGGCAATGAGAACTTTAATGTTCCTAGTTAGTAGTTTGGTTTCCATGCTGACGGCTTCTAGTCTGAGAGCATCCCTTTTCATCACACATATAGGGAGTTCCCACTTTAACACCACGGGCTCTAGTCTTCCTTTTGTGCTAACAAGACAGATTCATCTGGGTTCTTGCATGAGAGCTTTATTTTTGGAACTCTGAGATTTCAGGACTGTTCATTGAATGAATTATTTGCCCTGCTGCAGTAGACATAATTTTAAAAATCTGTGCCAGGTTTTTTTAAAAAGCTGTTCATTATGTGGTAATAATGAAATCAGCAGGGGTATTACCTTTTACTGTGTTTCCACTAAACAAAGGACTAGTAGTTCTTGAAGCTTGCTCTTGTTTCTCTGAAATCTGGATTTCTTTTTTTTTTTTTTTCCCCAAGGCTTTCCCATATGGGCATTTTTCCTTCTTAATTTCTCTCTTGAATTATATTTAAAGTAAATGTCCTTCAAAATACAATACTTGCCAAGCTACAGAGCAGGTTTAGTTGCTGCTTTTCAGTTGCTCTGCAGATGTTTTCATATGTAGAAGCAGAGGGCATTAATAGTATCAACAGGTAGCCAGGTTGCTAGTCTTGTGTTGTTGCAACTTACAGCGAGACAGTGATGATGATGATGATGATGACGACCGAAGCAGTGATCGGGAAGATGGACCTCTAGAAGAGCAGATAGAGCGCTTGCAGGAAAAAGTGGAGTCAGCCCAAAGCGAGCAAAAGAATCTCTTCCTTGTTATATTCCAGGTAATGATGGGGAAAATCTCCTCTCATTTTCAGGTGTTAAATTTACTGTTTAAATTTTACTGATTTATAAGCTGTCAGTGTCACTTGTATCTCAGGCATTCTTGGATTAAGAATATGGGAAGGGATTGATGGGTTTACTATAGGTTAGAGTCGATCCAGAGCATCCCTCTGCAAAGACTGCTTCTGAGAAGGATCTGTTCAGTTTCAAGTGCTCAGAAACAGAGGCGTTCTGCTAGCATACAGTTTTGTGAACACCATAAGGTAATTGGGTTTTATTTGCTTACTAAATTCAGTGTTTGTCAAGCAAAATAATTCTCACATAGCTGTTCAAAGCTTCTGTCCCCCAGATTCTCTCAGGTGAGGTTAGCACCTGCTTTCATTTGACAACAGTGAATAAGTACTTTTTCCTCTCTCCCGCAGCGTTTCATTATGTTGCTAACTGAGCACTTAGTGCGTTGTGAAACTGGTGGCATTGATGTGTTTACACCTTGGTACAAGAGCTGTATAGAGAGGCTGCAGCAGATCTTCCTGCAGGTAAGTTTCATGTCTCGGTTGGGAAGACTGTGGGCAGGGATGTGCTGGACAGACAAGCTGTGTGGCTGGAGCACCCATGAGAGTGGCAGCAGGTGGCAGCAGCACAACTTCTCTGAAGGCCAGTGCAGGCCTAGGTTGTAACTGGTTCTGGGCACATCTCTGCCAAAGACTGGAGGAGTGACTGGCCCTTGATTAATTCCCCCACTGTGAGTATACTGCAAAAAGATACCAAGGTGTGATTATGAATTTCACTACACTCTTAACTGTGTGTTTATAGTAAGGGCAAAGTCGGGAGTGAACAAGAATAGCAAAACAGATGTATTTTAAATAAGCAGATTAAATATTGCAGAGTTCCTTTTAATAATATGCAAAAATATAAAAAAAATTTTTTTTTAATTCTTGGCTCTGAATTAAATTGAGTAACAAGCATAGGTGGCTGGATGACAGTAATAGTAGTAGAAAATTATGGCTGTGCGAGCAGAAGAGATGTTGAAGAATGCAAGTGGTGGTATAATTCTCCCCTGGGCTGAACTCTTCGCTTCTAGTAGATACAGCTTTAGAGGAAAGCAAACACCATGATTCTCCCAGGATATCTCTGTATTTGCATTATATCCCCCACACAGTTCATGGTCTGGAGTGAAGAGCTACAGCGAGCACAGCGCTTCTCAAGGTTTCACCATGTGCTGCCTTCTTGCAATCAAACTCTATGTTATGCTTTTCTTATCAGTGGCTAATATGTTGTGGAAATTAGATATGCTTTTTTTTGGTGAAAACATTTGGCTTGTGATATGTGTCTTGACTTCTCTGCCTGTATAAAGATGAATGAAAACAATAAAGGTTTGTCTTTTTTTTTTGTTTTTTATCTGTCAGCATCACCAGATAATCCAGCAGTACATGGTGACTCTAGAGAACCTCCTGTTTACAGCTGAACTGGACCACCACATCCTGGCTGTGTTTCAGCAGTTCTGTGCTCTACAAGCCTGAGGATTATTCACAGGCAGTCTTGTCTGCAGGACTGAAATGATTTTAATTTTTTTTTAACAGGAAAATTTGACATGGGGATATAAGAGATTTTTGACTAAAACTGGCTTTCATATGCTCCTATATAAAACAGTACAGTACTCTAACCAACAGCAAACTGTGTAAGCATCAGAAGCCTTACCAGATATGACTGATAGGGGATAGACGTGAAGTAAAGAACAAATTCTTTTCATTGTCTTTTAATTTGCTTTGACTCTTGACTTCATTGTAGTAGTTTTGTTTCTCCCCTGTTGTTTATATAAAAATAAAAATCAGGAAAAAAAGCACCCCAAACCAAACAATAGAATTTATTACCTCTACCTGGCCTTTAAATCAAACGAATTGCAGAAATGAGAAAACAGTTCATAGTGTTTTTTGAGTGTGAAAGGGAGTGCACCTTCTCAGTGAGCAGTGTGGTAAGTTCTCTAGTAAGGCACAGGAACTGTGTCTTAATTTTGGGCACATGAAACACTTAAGTTTTCATATTAGTATGGAGCATATGGATTTGTCTATTACCAATCCAGGTAGATTTTCAGTTATAAAGAACCTGGCTGTAGTACAATTGAAATATGTTTTTTAAAGGTATTGTCTAGTGTCTTAATACAGTAGCTATACAAAATCAGTAGAGGAACTTCATGGACAACTTCTGAAAAATACAATCCTTTTGGCAGTATGGTCACTGGCACGCTCCTGGCAGCGTTCTTCACTGGTAAACAAAGACTGTAAGCAAGAGTTGAAGTGGAACAAACTTTTGACTTCTGTACTGCAAGCCTTACCTGGGTGTTGGGAGCTGCAGCCTCAGATGCCAGGGGAGAGGGCAGGGCAGTGTTCAGCTTGTTCCTTTATTTTGATCTAACTAACTGGGCTGTCAGGCTTGCACTGGGCTGGACCTGGAGGCCTGCAGTGATGCCAGAAATCTTTCTGGTATTGGTGGTGGATGAACAAAGTGCCCTCACCCCATCTGGCTTAGTAACTACTGCTTTGTGGTGGCTGCATCTGCTGCCCTGCCCTTGCTTTAATATGTGACAACAGCATGTGGCTCCCATGTCTTCAGAAAGCATTTTAGTCATAATTTAAGTGGTATCTCACAGGAGACACAGACTGGGAAAACACAACCAGAAAACAGAGTAGCCTTAGTTTTGAGTTATGCAAATAAGATTACATATGTAAATGCCAAACCAGCATGGTCTGTATTACAGTAAGCAGTGATGGATGGCAAAGACACTGCCGCAGGTGCTCAGGTCTGTCAGTGTGCAGTGTGTTTCCAAGCTGTTGATGGTCTCTTCATTTTGCAGATGAATGTTTAAAGAATTTCATACCTACTGCTATTCAGTTTAAGCTTAGAAAGTTGTGAGCTTTCAGTAATTTTGTTCCTGTACAAATTATTTTCCAAGTATTATACCTAGTAATGTATTTCATCCATATGTTGACCAATTGACCTTCTGGTCAAGAGAGGAGGGTTAAAAATGGAACTTTCTACTTTTGAGTGTTGACCTAAGTTTGTGCGTGGCCTGTAGCAATCCAATATATCCTCATAGACTTAGATCTGTTACTTCTGCTTTCTCTGCTTACCCTTTCTGACCCCTCTGTTCTTTCAGGGTACACTGTTAGTTGTTGTAAATTTGCTTTACGCAAGGGTTTTGACAGTCATGAACAGACGTCTGCTTCAAACCTTCCTCTGTTAATGTTCTTGAGTAATCAAATAGTTGCTATTTTGCTTTATTTTTTTTCTAAGAAATGTTTAATACTGTAGAGGTTTTAAGTGGGGTTTAGTAGTTTTTTCACTGGCTTAGATCAGTATCAGAGTTCTGGTATTAACTAATGGGGGTGTGACTGTAAATGTGAGTTCCTGTGAAACTGATAATGCAGTTAAAACTTGCAAACCTGTAACTTCCTCTGAGCCTTGATGAATACAGGTGCTGGGGATCAAGCTGCAAATGCCTGAGCATAATCCTATGATTTAAAACCAAATAGCATTGTCTTTCAAAATTGATTTGACTTCCATGGTGAGCGTGGGCTTTGAATACATTTCTTCAGTCTGTTGGACACCTTTCCCTCTTTGTAAGTCCAGGGACATACACCTGACTTGACTGGGAAACTGGTTGGATCTGTAGGAAAGAGGAGGAGATGCTTGCATAGTGATACCAGCAGTTAACTGAAGAAACTTGGAACTGCTGACTCATGAGGTGGCAGATAGTGTTAAGATGCTGTAGAAATGTGGTGTGGTTGAAAAAAAATGCACAATTAAAGACAAAAATAAATGAAGGTGAAGCAGGTTGCTGCTGGGAGTGTTTGTCCTACCTATTTTGGTGAGGGGGGAGGGAGGCACTGAAGCCAAGCAGTAATGGTGGGGTTGTGCCAGTGTTCAATGCAGTTGGTTTTGGAGCAATTTCATCTCCCTGCACTGTTGCTAGTACCCTGACTAATGCAGATGCCTCACCTCCTTGTGCCTTGGGCTGATCTAACACGTTTCCCCACCTGCGCAGCCAAGCCTGCCTGCTGCTCAGTGCCAGGAGGGTGTCAGCGTGGAAATTCTCCTCTCCCTTGCCCCGCTAGTCTGGGCGGTGGCTGCTGCAGGAGGTGAGGCAGGAGTGGTTCTTGCTGGGGGTGGCTGCTGCAGAGGAGTCCTGGAACCCAAGACAACACTGGGTCATGGAACCATGACCTGGAGGACTACTTCCAAAAGCTCTGCCAGGACCTTCCTCCTGCCCTCCAGACAACTCAGTGTGCCATTATCCTAGGCCTTGCAGGGCTCAAGCCCTCTGTGCTTGGTGGGAAGGCAGGTCACTGCATACCATGGGAAGACATTGGAGAGGTAAAGTCCTGTTGGTGGAATGATCATCTGCCCTCCCCAGACATGTCCCCTCCTGTAACATACTGGCTTTCTACAGCCAGTGGCCCAGGCTCCCTTAAGAGACCTCACTGAGGTGCATTTACCATGGGGCACAAATGCAGAGCTGCTTGCTGCAGCATGCTCCTTCATGTCAGCCATTCCCACAAGCATTCACAATAGCTGTAAGAAAGAGTTGAAATCTGTCAAATTTTAACTTGAAAGTAAACCCACCCTCTCCTGAACACAATTGTCATTCAGGTGCACTTAAAAGAAACCAACTTATCTTTTGGCCTTGAATTGATTAAATTTATTGAAATATCCAAAATGTGTTACATACTACCCCAAGACATAGCTTACCGAGCTTCTTACAACTGAGGAACATCATTCTTCACAGAATTCAGCAGCAGCTTGTAGATAATAAGCATTTATTTGACTTTAATAAAAACACCATTGAAAAGATAACAAAATTATAATAATAAACCCATATTAACACTACATCTTCTCGTAAGTTAATTCATGGCCACATACAGTACATGTCTTTTTAAATGTATCTTCATCAATATTTTCTTCTGGTCCATACTCATGTTCATGGATAGTAGATTCTTTCTTCCACAAACTACTCCTCACAGCACAGCGGAGTTCTGATGAGAAATACAGGAAGATTTTAATAAATAACTGTTAGTAATACTTGAGCAAACCACCTTTCTAAGGACTACAGATGGCAATTTGCTCATTGACTGTCTTCCCTAAATTTTGTGTGAGAATCTGCTACTGTAAGAACAAGCTCTGACTTGCCTTGCAATCTTCACCTTGTTTGCATATTTAAAGGAGAAGAACTACACTGACAGAAGACCTCGCAGAAGATTTTCCATCTGCACTGAGTACATGTTGCCTACTGCCTTTTTACATGAAGCCATTCACGGGTATCCGAAAGGGGTAGGTGGAATGCAGGGGAAAAGTTTTTATAAAACCCCTCATTGTTTCACATGGCCAAGAAAGAGTACTTTTAATTCAGGTCACAGTTAAGCCTCCCAAATGACTTGGCACTCTCTAAGCTTTATGCCCAATAATGCGAGTTGCCTCTGCCGCAGCCGCAGTGAAGTCAGCAGGTTTGCGAGAGCACAGGCTGGCAGCTGAGCCCAAGATACTCTCCGGATGTTTCAAGGGGGTGGGAAGCATACCGAGCAGCAAAATGTAGTCACGTTTTGCACCAAGCTATACCGGCTGCAACCTCCATCACATTAAGGCCTGTACTTGCACAGAACTGCATGCTTAACGCCTGTGGTCAAGAGCAGGGTTATTGGCTCGGTCTCCAGACAGAACCAGTTCAGCCAGCTTGAGCTGCCTCCCTCTGCAAATCCCAACCCAAAGTGAAGCATGGCTGCTAATGGGCAGCACAGACACCATGTAAGCCACAGCTTCTGCAAAGAGGCAAACATGAGGTCTGTTTTAAAAAAAAATACTAGCTTGTTTGGGCTGAAAATATTTTTTGAAAGTTCTACCCATTGAATATGCTCCTGATTTATCACAAAAATACAAGGATAACAACCAGCAGGACCAGCAGCTGCAAATACTGTGAAGAGTGGGAAAAGGCATTTTCTGGGTTCATTTAAAATTATTCTATCTGAAGGCATACGTATGAGCCACTGCCACAAAAATCTACATTCTCTGCAAGTCAGGAGAAGGAACAATCTATGGCACAGTCCCTTCCAACCCAAAACATCCTAATATCCTCAGTGATACCAATTTTACAAACACCATAACAAACCATCGTAACTCATTTCTGTCACATCATACCCATAGGACAACGGAGTAATTCAGGTTGGAAGGGACCTCAGATCTCCAGTCCAACCCTCTGCCCAAAACAGTCAGCTATGAGGTCAGACCAGACCACTCTGGCTTACACAGCTCTTGAAAACCTCCATTTTGCCACACTGAAGATTTTCTAAATACCTTAACCAGATGCAGAAACAAATTCAAACAGAACTGTATCTTACTTCAGGTACTGTAGTATGCAACTTTAACCCTTTACCTTTAACTTTCTTATCAAACTTCTTCTGTTTCATCTTTTCTCTGCTGTCACGGCGGAGGTCCTTTGCTTCTTGCAATGATTCCTCACTACCCCAGACTTCAAGAGAACGCTTGATCACCTACAAGATGGACATAAATGTGTTTCTTTTTCTCCTGAAATGATAACAGTAAATTATTCTAACTCACAGATTTCATTTTTCCCTAC